GTTTTTTCATGCTCGCGACGCATTTTTCTTTGACAAAACAATTCGCACTGTGAAAACACATGCGTTTCATGCTCGCGGCGCTGTTTTCCATATGAAAGCAAACGTTTCCAAATCCACGAGGCCATCTCAGTGTGAACACACGTATTTCATTCCCACAACGCAATTTTCTTCGTGAGAAAACATTGTCCACGAGAGAGTTTTCTCGGTGGACAACATAGTTTCATGCTGACGGTGCAGTTTTCGTTACCAAAAGAAAAATATTCAGAGTCCACGAGGCAACGTTCAATGTGGAAACACATGTTGCTCATGCTCGCGGCGCAGTTTCTGTGTGAAAATACCAGTCTTCCGAGTCCACAAGACAGTCTTCATAGTGAAAACAAATGTTTTCATGGTCGCGACGCAGTTGTCTTTGTGAAAACCCAGGTTCCTGAGTCCACGGAATAGTTTGAGTGTGAAGACGCATGCTTCTCATGCTCACGACACAGTTTTCTCTTTGAAAACAAATGTTGCCCCAGTCCACGAAACATATGTCAATGTCAAAACGCATGTTCTTCATGCTAACGGCGCAGTTTTGTTCTATGAAAACAGATGGTTCTGCGTTGCCTGAGCTACAAGCGCTTGTGCATTTCTTTGACAGATGCCAGAGGCGCCCACAACTTGTGACACAGCAGCGTTTGTATTCTGCTATTACGAAATATTGCAATGTTATCTGCTGTTTTAGTTTTTGCTCATGCGTGTCACGCAACCTTGCCAGGTGGTGTCTTGTGTGTCTTCTTCGTGTGTGTTGGGCCCCCATGAAAATTAGGAGCCGCCGCCGGCCCAGTTTCATTTGCCGGATTCCATGGAGGCTTCAAAGACAAGGAAGACAAGCAAAAACATTTGGCAGGGCTTCTTGACCACAAAAACAAACAAGGCAAATAAGACAACGCCTAGTAGGGTTTCGTTACGTATGGTTTCACGAAACCCTGCCAGTCACTGCGGAATTAGGCAGGTCAGACTGGACCGACGGCGGTGCCGATTTTTCGTAAGGCACCACAAATACAATACAAAGTCAACACCTGGCAGGGTTTCGTGAAGCACATAGAACAACAGCTAAAAAAACAGAAACTGGCAGGCTTCGTAACATCAAATAAGAACACATTGCTATGTCGCAGGTTTGTGTGCATCCGAGCATTTTTTCATATAGGAGCACAGGTGTTAGTAGCTCTGGCAGCGCAAAACCAACATATGCTCACATGGAAAATTGCGTCGTGGGCTTCAAAGCCTTGTGTCTTCAAGGTAAAATTTGTTTTGTGGACTCGGGATATTTGTGTCGGCACAACCATCGTGACAACCATCGTCACAACTATCGGCACAACCGTCGCCACAACTATCGACACAACCATCGGGATGAACGTCGCCACAGCCATCGGCAGAATCATCGGCATAACCATGGGCACAACCATCGGCACAACCATCGGGATGGCCATCGGCACAACCATCGTGACGACAATCGGCACAACTATCCTCACAATCATCGGCACAACAATCAGCACAATCATACCGTCACAACCATCGGCACAACCATCGCGACAACCACCAGCACAACTATCAGCTCAATCATCGGCTCGACCATTGGCACAACCATCGGCACAACAATCGGCACAATCATCGGGACAAGCATCGGGACAACCACCTGGACGACCATCGGGACTACCAGCGGGACGGCCATCGGCGCAACAATCGGCACAACCAGCAGCACAACCATCGGGATTGCCATCGGCTTATCCATCGAAACAGCCATCGGCACGATCGTGGACACAACCATCGGGTCAACCATCGGCACAACCGTTAGGACAACGATGGTGGCAGCTATCGGGACGACGATCGGCACATCCATCAAGAGAATCATTGGGGCAAACATCGGTGCAGCCGTCGGAACAACCATCGGGACAACCAGCGGCATGACCCCCAGGACAACCATCAGGACAACCAGTGGCACAACCATTGACAACCATCAGGACAACCATTGGAACATAATGTTCCAATGGTTGTCCTTACGGTTGTCAATAGGGAGTATTCGGATATCTCATGTCAGAATCTTACGCCCATGAATTATGTCAGAATTTTGAAGACTTTCTCACAATTCGGGCGCTGCTGCTCGCAACATGCTCACAACGCTGGCGCCGCCGCTCGAGACACCCTCACGCCTCCAAGCCACAAGTCTCGGGGCGCCGAGGGCGCCGAGCGCACATTTTTGGTTCTCTGCCTTTTGGCTTAGATCTCGGGACAGCCAAGGGGTCCTTCTCCTCCTCCTCCTCCTCCTCCCCCTCCTCCTCCTCCTCTTCCTCCTGCCCCTCCTCCTCCTCCTCTTCCACCTTCTCCTCCTCCTTGTACCTATACTCCTCCTCCTCTTCCCCCTCCTCCTCCTCCTCCTCCTCCTCCTCCTCATGCAGTGGCCGCCGCGCGGGTGGGCAGTTCATCTTTGCCCGACCTGGCTCCCAGCAGGGCCGGAGCTCGCGCAGCCTCGCCTCGCCCGCGCACGCACGTCATGGACGGCACGGGCCGAAGCTGACATCGATGTCCCGGCTGGGCAACTCCGTTTTGCTTCGAGCTCGGCCCCCCTTCTCGGGATTTGCACAGACTGGAGTTCGGGGGCGCAGAGACAGAGGAAGCCACAGGGCAGGAGCCCAAGCTCGAAGACGGACCGCCCTTCGCCCGTGCAGTTGTCGCAGGAGCGCGTTTCTCTTACTGCTTGGGGCACAATGGGCATTATAGCCCCTGGCCCCCCCCCCCTCCCCCCCCCCTAGAACTATAACGTAACGCCCCTGCCCCCCCTCCCAGTGCGCTCCGGGCACGGCCACCGCGCGCACGGCGGGGGGGAGGCGTTACATTATACCCCCCACCCCCCCGCCCCTTCCCCCCCCCCTAAAAATGCCCACTATCGCCGAATTCAAAGAAACACGCTCGTTGTCGCAGAGTGTTCTGACGAGCGCGCGCGGAGCGAAGGCGAGAGCCCCCTCTTGAGAGCACCCCCCCTTTCCATCCCTGGAGCGCACAGGAACTCGTGCGAGACGAGCGTGCGCGGCGCCAAGGCGAGAGCCCCATGCGTCGAGTCCACCGGCACTCCTCCCGCATTGGGAGTTTGAAAGAATCGGGGGCAACGATAGGCGGGGACAGGCAAAGGGGGGGATGCATCGATCCCCCAATCGCCCACTGATCGCCGTTAGGGGCCCGATAACCCCAACCTGCCCAGCAAGGTGCAGATGCATTCTCGGGGGCCTGTCGCCGACCTATCGGCGACGTATCGCCGATTCCAGGTCGATGCATCCCCCCCCCTTATGCCAGTCCCCCCCCATCGTTGCCCCTCAGAAGAGTGCGGGCGGCCACGAGGTGAGGGCCCCACGTCGAAAACTGCTGGTGCTCATTCCGTGTAATTGTTGGAACCGTCAAGCGTCGAGATCACAGGAGCGTGTTTTTTTTGCTTGGTAGCCCCCGGCCCCCCCTCCCCCCCCTATAAAGTAACGCCCCTCCCCCACCCCCAGTGCGCTCCGGGCACTGCCGCCGTGCGCATCGGGCACACGGCGGGGGGGAGGCGTTACGTTATGCCCCCCCCCGGCCCCCTCCCTCCCCTTATAGTGCCCATTATCGCCGAAAATGAAGAAACGCGCTCTTGGGAGTTTCAAAAAGCAGAGTGCGGGCGGCCACGAGGTGAGGGCCCCACGTCGAAAGCTGCCGGTGCTCACTCCGTGTAACTGTTGGCGCCGTCAAGCGTCGAGATCACAGGTTGCGGGGAGACTCTGGCGGAACGTCCGGCCCGCGATGACGACACGTCTGGTGGCGCGGCGAGGCAGAGTTGGCCATACGGTTGGTAACTTTCGGTTCGGCTGTCGCGCCGCGGGCTCTGGCCTACCCCGCTTCGGCGCGAGACGCTCACCGCAGAAGTTCTTTCATGATGCCCCCCCGCCGGGCTCCCGGCTGGGAACAGATGTCCCTCCCCTCCTCGCCCCTCCCCTCCTCGCCCTCCTCCTCGCTCTCCCACCTCGCCCTCCTCATTGTGCTCCCCTACTCGCCCCACCCCCCCCTTCGTCCGCATTCTCGTCCTTGCCCTCCTCGCCCTCCTCGCTCTCCCCCCTCGTCCTCGTGCTCCCCTCCTCGCCCTCCCCCTCGTCCTCCCCCTCCCCGTCGCGTTGTCTTCGTAGTCGTCGTCGCGATCGTCGTCGTCGACTTCATATTAGGGTCGCGCAGGTAATCGTGCGCGGTAAGAGCTCGCCACAGCTGTGGTGATCTTGATCGATCGAATTTATCCGCTTGCGGAATCATTATCTGACTGTTGTTCGCCTGTGGATTGTTGTTGGGTGGTTCTTTATCCTGGTGGATTTTGCCCTCTAGTCTACTCTGAAACGGCACGGACAAATTGAGCCTGTTTGTACAAATCTTGCAAGAATATTCGCTACATCTCAAATCGAGCCCGCCCGTCGTCTTCGTCGCCGTCGTCGCGATCGTCGTCGTCGTCGTCTTCAGATTGGTGTCTCACAGGTAATTGTGCGCGGTAAGAGCTCGCCATAGTTCTGGTCAGCCTATTCGGTGTGGTGAATCCCAACGGGACCCCAGTAGGGATTCGGGGATTCTTGGATATCCTTGAAAACGCGGGAGGCCTCAGCTGAGGGCGCCGCGGGAAGGAAATCATTTTCCAAGTAACACTTTCGGCCCCAATCTGTCAATAAGCCCGCGCAGAAAAATAGTTCCCATGATAAGAAGGGGGACTGTTAAAGACCCTTAGAGGTTACCCATGCCCCAGTCCCCAGGCGTCAACGTCCCGAGCCTTTCGAAGCCTCCCGCCCGGCGGAGTGGAGCGACACGCTATCAGCACGCTTGACATTGCGTGTCGCTGGGGCCGCCGCCGCGACACGCTAAACAAAAGTTCCTGACCGCAAGGCGGAGGGAATGGAGGGGGAGGGAGGAGAGGAACACGAGGAGAGGAGAGGCGGATGAGGCAGGAGGCCTCGGACCCACGCGAGGGCCAAGCCGCGATCCCGAGACCGGCAATTACTTGACGCGGGAGCAGCTCGAGGAAAAGTACAGATGGCGACAGTCCTTCTTCTCCTGCTCCCTCCAATCCTGCTCCTACTCCTGCTGAGGAGGAGGAGGAGGAGGAGAAGGAGGAGGGAGGAGGAGGAGGAGTTGGAGGAGGAGGAGGAGGAGGAGGAGGAGGAGGACTGCTCCTCCGCAGGTCCTACAGTTTCAACCCGGCCGAGGCTCAGTATGGCCAGTTTGCGATGGACGACGACGGCTCCAACGTCCAGTGCCTGTGGGCCAGCATCAACCTGGCCACCAGCTTTATTTGGCTCTTTACAGCCGGAGCCTTCGGTCTAAAGTTTCGCATGGTGTTCTTCGAGGACAGCTCCAAGCCATGGGGCACCATGGTCGCTGCCGTGGGTTTTATCTCCGCGTTTCTCGGCACGGCAGCGACAGGGTGCTGCTGCGACCCCATGGAGAAAGCGTACACGCCCTTCTATGTTGTCAATGTTGTCTACGCCGTGCTTGGTTTCTTCGTTTCTGCTTTTGAGATCACCAAGTCCAGACATACTAATGACTGGGGGTATCTATTCTTGGCCCTGGTGTCCGCAGTGACCTGCGCGGGGTCCGTGCACATGAAGGTGCTGTCCGTGCTGGAGGGGTCCGTGTCCAGCAGGAGCCTGCAGAGGCGGGGGAGGGGGTGCGCCCTGCGTGGGAGCCCCCCGCGAAGAGGGGGAGGAGGAGGAGGAGGAGGAGGAGGAGGAGGAGGAGGAGGAGGAGGAGGAGGAGGAGGAGGAGGAGGAGGAGGAGGAGAGGAGGAGGAGGAGGAGGAGAGGAGGGGGAGGGGGGAGGAGGAGAGGCGGAGGCGGGCGGAGGCGGAGGCGGAGGCGGAGGCGGAGGCGGAGGCGGAGGCGGAGGCGGAGGCGGAGGCGGAGGCGGAGGCGGAGGCGGAGGCGGAGGCGGAGGCGGAGGCGGAGGCGGAGGCGGAGGCGGAGGCGGAGGCGGAGGCGGAGGCGGAGGCGGAGGCGGAGGCGGAGGCGGAGGAGGAGGAGGAGGCGGCGGCGGCGGAGGAGGAGGAGGAGGAGGAGGAGGCGGAGGAGGAGGAGGAGGAGGAGGAGGAGGAGGAGGGCGACGAGGAGTTGGAACAGCAGCAGGAGGGGGGCGCCCTTCGTGGGAGCCCCCCGCCTTCGCCGTCGCCGCCCTCCTGCTCGTCCCCTCCCTCCTGCATGCTCGGGCCTCCAGCGCGGCTCGACGAGGGAATTCTGGACGCTTTTCGCGTATCCCCATCCAGCCCATCCAGCAACAGGCACCATGCGAGTTGCCCTGATCAGGGATGTGCAATTCGCAGGACGACGAAGAGACGACGATGCTGACGACAAGGTCTACGACAGCGACTGTGGCCACTTGGCTGCGACCACGACGGGGATCCATTCAGGGAGCGACGAGAGGTAACCACTCAACCAAAGCAGCTACAGGCTCACTGTACGTCTGATAAGTCGCGTCCGCGTCGTTCCATGCGCTGCGGGGATCCTCGTGGTTGTCCTGACTGAGCGGTTGCCTGTCGTTGCCCGCAGTGTCTGTAGTAGGTCGTGCGTGCCTGGGGCCGCCGACGACGATCACGATGACGACGACGACGACGACGGGAATCAATATCAACGCCTTTGCGATCGTTCTTTTTGGGAGCTTCTTGGAGGCCTCCTGGGGCCATCGCGGGACTCTCTTGGGGCCATTTTGGAGGCCTTTTGGACCCTCTTGGGACTCTTGGGGCCCTCTTGGGGCGCACTCTTGCTCGTGCATTTTCTTCGTTGTGAAGGGGACAGGCTGCAGCAAGCCCAGCTGCAGCTTGTTCCACCCTCCGCCGATTCCACATCACGTGTGACCGAACTTGCCATGATGACTGTATGACCTCTGGCGGTATGCATTGCGTCGGAGACCTCCGGAGAGGAGACACATATTGCCCTGGACCAGCACGCCATTGGCTTGGCACGTCCGGGTGCCGCAGAAACGATCGGGACCACATGTGCATAAACTTCAGGATGTGATCGCCAAGGCCAAGACCCTCAAGATGGACAACGGCATGGTCGCCCCACCTGGCTGTTTCTGGCATCTACCCCCGTTGCGCGAACATATTCAGGATATGGGTTTTGGTGTGCTACATGTGACGTTCGGTTGTTTCAGTCTGATTCATTTACAGCTAATAATGCCCCAAGCGGGTTCTATGTATACGTATTGTGATTACCAAGACAATGCCACCAAACACGTGGATGTACAGCTGCGCGTCCATCATCGAGGATCACGTTTTGGACTGGTATGGCAAGATTGAACAACACGGACGAGGGAGGCACCAAGTACTTGTTCAATTTACGGAACTTTTGATCCAACCATCGTGTCGACACCAACATTTTATCGACACCACAACATGTGCGAGCGAAACGATTGCAAAGCGACGCGCTATGTCAAAACAATCGAGTCGGGCCCAAACATGCTGGATTTCCAGCCGAACCGTTCGAGGGGCCACGCTGAACGCCGACAAACCCAACCAGATCGCCCAGGGCATTTTTCAAACAAATCGAATCGGCTACGAGCGGGAAGCAAAGCTCCCAGCCGGAGCCAAACACATAATTTCGTGCCTGTGCTACAGGGAGGAGAAAGATAATCGCAGTGACGACTCTACTCAACAAAAGAATTGATGTCAAGTCGTCACCCTAGATGCCAGGTGTTCCCTTTATTTCTGATTATGGGTAATGGAAGTACCTGTTATTTCATGTTCGAGGTGCATGATTATTCAAATCCCACGTGATCACGGAAACGTGACAGCACTTCTTGCTCGTGTTCAAATGCCCGAATGCGACAAAAAGAAAGGCAGAGAAAAAGACCAACGGTGTTGGAATTAAACCCAAGAAGACCCCAACTGTAGTGAAGACGGGAATGACGTTTCCGGGGGCGGCTTCAAGACCCCCGCGGCCTTGGGAAAAAAACCACCTTCATGATGTACGATGTTCGTTTTGAAGATCTTCACGGCAGCGATGGAGACAACGACTACGAGATAGTACGTCTGTTCATCTGCGCGCGTAGCAAACCTCAGCCGGCCCACATCTCCAATTCCATGTGCTATGGGAAGAACAACTGCCAGGACAGGCAATAGCTGCGTGGAGGAAATGGGGGACATTTCTAAGGAAGTTTTTTTTTACGAGGGAGGCGTGTCTTCTGCGGGGAACCTACATATCGCGACCTTTTTCGTGGATCTAGGCAACCCAAGCGTCCAACGAGCTTTGATCAATTTTCAGGGAACGTGCTTTGTGATGGCTACCATCTTACAGCCCAATCGCAGAACCACTGGCTTGTATTCCCGGTTCGAGTTCAAGGTGGATTGCCACGCGTGGAAGGAGCGCCACGACGCCGACCTCCCAAGCCATCGACATGGTAGACGCGTTGTTGCTCCTTTGCAAGAACAAGTGGGCCGATATTGGATGTGGGAACGACCGCCCACCAACTGGATCAATGAGATATCGCCCTGGACACAGGTGCAAAGGGGGCTTCGATCTTGCAGGGCTGCTTGCGCTTAGCGCATGGCGAACCTCACCCTCAAGGATAGCCGCGGCATCCCCGCGCGACAGACCGCGGGAATGCGCCCAGCCGTGCACGCCGACCACAATCTTTCTTGAGTCTCCGTTGCAGCTGCGACCATGAACGCAGCCAGCCCTGGAACGAGAACCGAGAAGTTAGCCCCGGCCGTCCAACGCGCGGGGAAGCTTTGCCACGTTTTTGTCGACGACGTGATCTCGCCCAAAGCCGCGGCTCCTCTGCGCCCATCTTCTCGGAGGAACTCGAGCCTGTGAAATCATGCGGCCGTTGACGTCGACAGGGATGCGCGGGCCCTGTCCAAAGGGTTCCGACCCTCGCGTGACTGGCGACCCCGCGGCAGAAGCGGCCGGCGCGCCTCGCGCGCCGATCGCGACAGCGCGCCCGGGCCCGCGGAAGGCGCGCCCCTTCGATCCGACGCTATTCGCCGGCGAGGCAGACCCCAGGGGCCTGCGACAGATCGAACGAAGCCCCATTTATAGGGCCGCGGACTGGCCCGAGCCCCTTGCCTGACTGGACGAGACTCAATGTCGAAGCCAGTCCGGGGGCCCTCGAGAGTGCAGGCCCTGCCGTTATCAACCAAGAATTTCGCGAGATCGAGTGGAGGTTCTCCCGCGCGAAGAAGCCCGATATGAGCCAGATCATGCGCCGTGTGTGTTTGGGCGAGGTGTTATTTGTCATGTTCAAAACCTCCCTGGACACGCGTCGAAAATGTCGAGCGCCGGGGCGAGCGCCCTGGCGCCTCCGCGACGCCGTCAACAAGCGACCTGGCCGATGCAATGAGGAAGCTGAATGCTGATATTCTTCTACAAGAATCACATCGCCTTCGACGTCGTTGATCGACGCATCCGATGCGCCGGCGGTTGTGACCCCCCCCGCAAAGCCTAAGGGCGCGCTCTGGGACGCGCGCCGCAACTGCCGGGTCAAGTCCAATCACGCGGCCTGGGCGTCGCGCCGCGACGTCGAAGACGGCGGCGATGTCGAGAGCCAGTTGAGGCCTGTAGCGCGGGGCTTCGGACGCGCGCCTCGGGCCAGCGCGCAAATTCCGCCGAGGCACGAAACCGCGCTCTCAGGAGTGTCGCGCGCAATGTGGAAGAGGGCCCAAGGGGGCGCGGCGCTGCCCTGGTTATCCATTGGGCGCCGGCCGAAGCAACGTTTGCATGCGACGCAATTGCTTTCCACGATGGCCCTTGGCCGATGCAGCGCCCGCGCGGGCGGGCGACCTGTCGCGCTCGCTGACTTCGAGGGGCCAGACCTCGAATAATCAGAACCTACCAGTCAGGAGCGCGAGCGCCGCATTCAAGAATTAGCCTGGGAAGCCGCTGCGCAAGCCACCACGGCAACCGAGGTGAGCAGGGCCCTCGACTGCAATGGCAAAGCGGGCGGCGGCGCGAAGCGCCGAGTGGGGGACCCGGCATGCCGCCGCCGTCCAACGACGACTGAAGCCGAATAAGCGCTATTTCGAACGCACATGCATGTATGCATGCTATAGGTATGTATGTATGTACATACATATACACACCAGATTTTAAGGCTCGCTGCGCTTCGCCTTCTTATCTTGACCCTTGCACCTACGATGTTTCTGGGCGCGGGCGAGAACGCAATTGTTCAATGAGGTGCGCGGGAATCGCGCGAGCGGAGGCGAGGCGAGGCGAGTGCGCGGTAGCGCCCGGGGCGGGGCTCAGGGCGCAGCGTTGGTGGACGCTTGAGTGGAGGTGAAGGTGGGAAGTCGGATGCCGGGCGCTAGAGGTCGGAGTGCTGAGCTGATGGGGGCTGGAAGTCTATAGGTGGAAGTCCCACCGGCCCTTTAGGGCTACGTTGGTATAGCGATTTTGGTATTCTCTCTTCCCCTTCCTTCCCCTGCTCAGGGGGGGGGCAACCTCCCCCTGGGCCTGGATGGGGGGGGGGGGGGCATGGAGGCGTTAGAGCGTCCAAGACGGCCCAAGATGGCTCCAAGAGGCGCTCCAAGTCGCAAGATGGCCTCCAAGATGGCCCAAGATACCTCAAGACGGGTCAAGATAGCCCCCGACGCACCTCCAAGAGCCCTCAAGACGGATCCAAGTGCCCTTCGAGCCCTCCACGGCGCCCTCCAAGAAGCCAAAACCCTTCAAAAGCCGAAGGAAAGTCAATGTGTTTGGCATTCTCGTCTTTTCGCTTCCGATGGGCCCCTGGGGCATCAAGATGGCCCCAATATGGCCCAAGAGAGCCCGGGGCCCAAGAAGGCCCAAGACGGCCCCAAGATCGCCCAAGAGGCTTCCGAAGAGCGCTCCGATGGGGGGGGGCCTGAATTGAGGACCCCTGCTCTTCTTGAACAATGGGGCCCAGGACGGCCCCGAGAGGCCCCCCAGCCTCTCCTGAAGATTCTCCACCCCGCCCTTTTTGGCCCAAGATGGCTCCAAGAGAGCCCTAGATAGCCCAAGATGGCTCCCAAAATGGCCCAGGATAGCCAAGCATGGCTCAAGATAGTCTCCGACAGATCTTCAAGAGGCCTCAAGACAGCTTGAACATGGCCCCACATCGCCGAGCATGGCTCATAATAGCTTCCAACAGCCTCTAGCCGAGCATGGCTCAGGATAGCCTCCAACAGGCCTCGGGAAAGCTGGCAATCAATTCTGGACGGGCTGGTGGGGGTACTTTTTTTTGGTTCGCGGCTACAAGGCAAAGGTCAGGGAGCGGACGCAGCGTCTGGGGTGCGGCGCGGAGCGAATTTGCGAACACAGCTGGTGGGGATATTTTTTTTGATTGGCGGCTCACAAGGACAGATCCAGGAGGCGGGGCGGTCTCGGCTGGGGCACAGGGCGAGATAATTAGCGGCGACGGCGCATGGGCCGACGCAGCGGGCGCACGTGCCAGGGGCAAAATGCCCCCCATTAAGACGCAGGCGACCCGGAAGCGGGGGCGCAGGCGCAAAACGGTGACAGACGGAGGAGAAGCCGCACAGTGGCGCCAGCTCAGTCCGCACCGACCAGGGCGCAAGGGCGTGGGTCACGCCGCGCTGTGGCGGCACGGGGGGCCCAGTGAGGCCGCGCCGCCCAACGCGACGAGGAGGCGAAGGAACGGGGAAAGGCGGCGGGCGCGAGCGGCGGCAGGAGAAGGGGGGAACAGGAGGAGGCCTCACTCACAAGGATTCATAGGATGCACGTGGGCATGAGCGACCGACCTATTCAAGGAACCGGCGGCCTTGTCTTCTGAGTCCACGGCCTGCAACTTGCCTGACGCTGAAAATCGGGGGGGGGGGGGGGGGGCAGCTGCAAGCGCCGGTCGAGTCCCCTGGGTCACCCTGCGGGAGGGCCGCGATGAATTGCCCAAGGATAAACCACTTGTGCAGTAGCTAGGACTCGAAGGCGACGCCCGTCGTGAGAGTCGTCGTCGTCGTCGGCGTACAACGCGGGCAACTTATCCGTCTCAGGGGGCGGGGGCGCAAAGTCGCGAGCGTCAACCGAGGTTACAGGGGCGGACCTGCCGGGGGATCCGCGGTGACCTGCCAAAGGATGGACCACTTGCCAGGAATGCGCTCACCCCAGGTCCGGCCTCAGGTGGTGCCGAAGCGGGGGGGCGTGCAGGTCTGCACCTTGCCGTAGCCCAGCACCTGGACCGCCGCGAGCCACGCCGTGTCATCGCGGGCGATCCCCCCCGTCGCGGGGGCTGGACGATCCGGTTCCTGCGGGGTCAGACTGTCGCTGACCATCGCTGACCAGATCACCCCTTGGCAGTCACTGCCGTCTGTGTGCTCCTCGGAGTCCTGCCAGTGAGCCCTCGAGATGCCCATTGTTTTCCAAGTCGCTGGTGGGGATGCGCGAAGCGTCAAGAATTGAGACGAAAGTCGGCGGCCGCATGCTGGAGGACGGGATGCTGACCTGGTAGAGGCTGGGAGTCCCGCGAGCGAAGCGGCAACACGATATTGAATGAGAGATGTGGCCGGCGCCTCGGCGAGAGCACGGGGCCCAGTGAAAGCTGTTTTCTGTTTCCGCCGTTTGCCTTCTCCTCCTCCTGCTCCTCCGTGCCCTCCTTCCGTCTTCCTGGGGCCCCTCCTGTTTCTCGCAAT